GATTAGTTTGCCAAATTGTATTAAAAATGTGCTAGGCTCATTCTTAAATTTGCTTATAGACCAGCCATCACAAAATCAGGCTTAGGCTTTCCAAATTAAAATAAAACTTTAAATATAAGCTTAAGCTTCAGAGTCTCTCACTGCATGGGCCCCTTCCAAAGCTCTGTATTTAAATTTTGCAGAGGTGTTTATGTGTAATTTTTCATAGAACTCCCAGTTTATCATCTTGGGCCTCACACAACCTGGATCCTGGCTATACAATAATCTTCAAATGCAAGAAAAAAGGGGGAAGAAAAAGCTTTCTAGTAACATGTATAACAAAGAAAATAAGCCACATGTGTTCATCTTACACAACCTACTTTAATATAGTTGCTTCATATTTCACAGAAAATAAGGCACAGTGACCTCGTTTTGTGAGTTGTGAGGTACAGTGACTGAGTTATCTGTAGCTGAGCCAACAATGTGCAATATTGTGAATTTGCAGCCAGAAAACCTGGGTTTACACTGAGTTTGTATCAATGACTTGTAACATTATCTGGGCCAAGTGAGAGTTTGTGAAATAATGAAAATCAGAACACTAGCTTTGTATTCTAAATCTGCCCTTACTAGATGTGAACTTGTGGAAGTTAATGAAGTTCATGGAACCTCTTGTTACTCATATAAAAAATGAGATGGTACCATTTACCTAGAAGGCTATTTCGAGGATTAGTCATGTTCTAAGTAAAGTATCTAACATTCTCCAGAGCAGCAGGAGTTTGTGTAATGTTAACTACGATTTTTTTAGTCACTTTGATCTTTTGTTTCTTCATTTCTAAAATGGGTAAACTGTTATCTAGTTTACGTGTCTCGAGGGTTGTTTAGCCACATTTTGAAGTGGTATATCACAAAAATGCATTGAAGTGCTATGCAAGTATGGTGTACTGTAACTCCACATTTTCTCCCTGCCTGTTCTTTTCCTTTGTACTAAGGTCTAATCACCTCCAAAACCAAGTGACAAAAATTAATGAAGACTGGATTATCAGTCCAAGGAGGCTGATTTAAATGTACATGTCGTATTAAGTTTGCTACGAAATTCCAGTTGTTGTCTTTTATTTTTTTTCCTGAGAAACTACAGTGTTTCTCAGGACCTGTAGTTTAGAAGCAGCCTACAACAACACTTAGTTCTGATCGATGCTCAATCAATGTTCGTTTGATTAATTGAATCCTTACCTAGTGGGAGTTTATTACACTGGGTATTCATACCAGCCAATTTGCCTGGGATAGTCTGGTTTGTGACTGCTGCACTGGATTAATTATTAATAATGTCCTCATTCACTCCCCGAAGTATCTCAGTCATTAGATTATTTTACTTATAAAGCAATCAATATAACACACAGCATATATTCAGTCTCACATTCTTTTCAGTTTATGTACTTATTTTGATAATTGGTTTAAATATGAGGACTGCAGTAATTTTTTTCTTTATCTCTACTTCTCCATTTAGTAGATGGGGTGTATTACAAAAATATATTATTTGAAAGAGGACGTCCAATACTCTACTATTATTAGCATACATATTTCTATATTCTCCTCAAATACACTTGTACAAGGCAAAAGCTGAAGGTTTTTAGTGATCTCTCTGTTCAAAAAAGATGTTAGAAATAATATTTGACCTATTAAAATAATCACAAACTAACTTGAGTAAGCATGTTCCTTCTTCATTCACAATTCTTTGAGCTAATCATTGTAGCATTTAAGCAAAATATAAATGTCGATGTAATTTAAGTAATTGTAAAATGTTCCTTAATGTAGTCTCATAACACCTAACTGTTTAAGTTGTAATAGTGTATTTGTTATTGTATTATAAGTACTGATCAAATTGATTCGAATTGTATTTACTCAATAAAATATAGAAATAAATGAAAATAGTATATGATGGTATATAAATAGTATCCAATGGTGGGACAGAACTGAGTAATGTTCAATGAGAGTTGACATAAAAAACAAACCTACTGAGAGACACGATTAAAGAAAAATATAAAGAGTGATTTTCTTCTCAATGAGTCACGTGATTTAGTCTGGAATTTCATGTCAGTTCCATTCTTAACTAAAAGTATAAAAACTAAACTAAAAGTGCAGTGTCAAGAAGTATATGCCACACAAATAGTACATTTAACAGGCATGAAAAGAAATAATTTCATAGTGTTTATTGCAAAAAAACAAATACTGTGTTTAGATACCAGTTATATAATATAATGTATTCTTAAAAATTCATAATTGAGGCAGCAATTTTTAAATACCAATTCTATGCCCCTCATTAACATTTAAAGTCAAACTTTAGAGCCCTGGAATTTTAATTTTAATTTTTCTGTGTTGCCTCCGTAACTCTAAAATCAGTAGAAGAGAACTGATTTGACATGCAGCTAATTATCTACTTATAGTTACTTTTCAAACTTTAAGATATGAGTAGAAAGATCTATTTCCATTTCATTTTCCTTTCTCAACAATTCATTAGTTAAATTTGAGAGGCAATGAGAGTCTCGTTGGTCTGTTATGTGTGATAAGTATATGACTTCTTAAAAATTTAATTAAGTACTCAAACATTTTAAAATAAAAATTTCAAGGGTTACATTTGTGCAGAGAAATGTTAAAACTCTTACAAGAATGACAAGAAAATCTAAACCAAATTATTATTATTAATATCATTGTCAAAATATCTTATTGAAGTGATACTGTTAGACCTAATCGAACTAGGAAAAACTGCCTCCTAGAGAGAGTCAGAATCACCTTGTGGCCTGTTTGTCCCAAAGGCACACAAAAATGTCTGAAGCAAGATCACTACAGATGTGGGGATTGCAAAGATTGAATAATAATGACAACAGGACAAAAAAAAAGAAAGAAAAGCTGGTCTCCTGATTCTACAGCAGGCTGTTCTTTGTGTGATTTCTTTCTTCCTACTACAGTCCATTCAAATCATATACCCTTGTTCAAATGGAAAAATATAAGGTACGGATTTAATCAATAATGGCAGACTACAGAGTTGATATTTTAAAAATCACTTACAAGTTATAGGAAAAACAACTTTGAAAAATATCATACTATTTTAGTCTGCTCTCCTAACCTTTACTTAATTTGGTTAAAAAGTATATTTGTATTTCTTTAAAGGTCAAAAATCAGTCATTGTTTTATCAAACAACCAAAACAAAATTATTTGCATCAGGTTCTGCTTTGACTTATGTACTAATATCAATAGTTAATAGTTTAAAAGAATGCTAGTATTTCGCACATTATATTTTTTTCCACTGGCAGTAAATTAACATGTTGTTTGTATTTTGTTTATCTTCACAACAACTTTGACAGCTGGGTCAATTTAAGCGAACCACCCTTTGACTTAGAGAATACAGAACTTTCTAAAATAACTTGCCCTAAGAAGCCAACTTAAAATAAAATGAATGGAAAACTTTTCTACATAGTTTCACAGGGAGGTTTTTATTTATGATTTGATAGATACATTTAAAGCCAGAGTTATACCAAATAAAATTGGAATAAAATAAAAAATACATTCCTTTTACAAACTCTATGACTCATTTAAAATGCATTTAATGCCATCCTAATCTATGCTATATATTAAACAAACAGACTTTGCTTTGAGAAGGGGTGGTAGGAACCACATTAAAACTAAGTGACAGTTCTCAGAGGAATGGTATTTCTCTCTCTTTTTCTGTTTCTCTCATCTGGGTCACTGACAAACTAACAATATTATATTAATTCATTTTGTTTTGAAATGCAGTGTTAGTTCTTATACATATTATGTGACTTTTCACTTACTACATCCTTGCCAACTTGCCCTGGGTCAATGAAGAGACAAAGGGTCCCTGAAGAAAGATGTAGAAGAATTCAAGTGAATCTTCTCCATCAACTAAGGATTTTCTCAGGTTGTAAAGATTATACTTTGCACTGGTCAGGTAAGCCTAATACAATTTTGAATTTGGTAAGAAAAGAAATTAAATCCAAGAATTTATTGCAACAACTCACAACCTCAAATTGTTTCCATTTTCTCATTCCCAGGAGCCCTTCCTTAGAATTAACCTGTCAGTAAGCAGGAAGGGAATAACCCTGATTTATTACTAAGAGCAAAGCGAGACTTAAGCTTGAGGGATATAATGGAAAGGGCCTTAAAAGGAAAGAATATGTTGTGTTTAAGTTGACAAAACAAGATAGGGAAGTCATTAACTAAAAATCTAGTGTGAACTGGCATTTAATTTGGCCTTCTAGCCAAGTGGACCCCAAAGATTACAAAATCTTACTGTAACCTCCATACAAACTGACCATTTAAATGGTACATGAGACTTGACCTGGTAGTTGAATCCATACAGAAGACCCCAGAGAGTATAAGATGTGCCAGAGAATCAAAGTCATTTACAAAGGATTCACAAAAGAGAAAGCCATGACCCAAACTTATGAGCTAAATAGTGAAAACAAACGCTTTCATTTTATTTCATTATATTCTTGTATCCAAATAGCACATCTACTTCTAAAAGTTTACAAAATCCAATGTCAAAGAATATTATTGAGTTTCAGGTTTCTGAAAGTTTTCTACCCTTTATTACTCAAAAAATATTACAAAATAATATTGATGTATTATTTTAAGCCATAAAGATTAAAGAGAGTTTCAAGGAAAAGAACCAGTTAAGCAAGATAGCCGTTTCGTAATGGGGTCCCCTTGAAACACTCCAATGTAAAGTTAATAAATAAATTATATTTTTAGGTCCTTTAATTTATGTAACTTTCAGTAAAAGTATTTTAATAACCTTCTGGGATTGTAATTAGTTCGATATACGATTTTACAGGATTTCATATTTGTAGCCAAGTTGTTGAATAAAAATACCATTTATGGCACAAAACACACTTCAGCTGTGCATCACACTAAAAATATTGGATATCAACAAAGGACTAAGGATTATATTTACTTTAACATTTATATACTTTAAGACAGGAAAAACTGTGTACATCCTACATACCTCCGCAGCAAACTGTTGCAGTCCACCAATATTAATTGGTCCCTCTTCAGTGGCATATAAATTGCATCCACCTACACAAAGATCAGAGGTTGGACATACCATTCCACAGCTCAAACCAAGTGGGTTGTCTGAAAAAATCATCTTAGCAGCTCCATAATAGTTCTGCAAAAATAAAATAAAATTTATTATGTAGCAATCTACCTTAAACATTCAAATTACAACTTAATTTTTTTCTATTATGTAATTGGGTTGAAGATCAAGACATATATAATATGCAGAGCTTACAATACTGTTTACCATCAGAACCATCAGGTAATAACTAGCACAGTATATGACATTCAATATGTGATATATTAATAAATGAATAATTAGAGTATTTTAGAAAATCGAAATTAAAAATAGATTCTGTAAATAGTTTTTGTTCACTAGGCATCAGACTATAACTTGCCATGAGGTCTTCTTTACATTTTTTGTTGATTCTTTTTTTTTAAATTAAATTTATTGGTGTGATATTGGTTAATAAAATTATACAGGTTTCAGGTGAACAATTCTATAATATATAATTTGTATATTACATTGTGTGTTCACTATCCAAAGTCATTTTTTTTTCTGCCACCATATATTTGACCTCCTTTTCCCTTTTCTACCTTCCCCTCTGTCATTTTTAAGAAAGGTGACTTAGGTAGATTGCTTAACCAAACTTAAAACTTAAAAAAAAAAAGTTATACTTAGGTTATCCTCCATTTAAATAAATTAAAAGCAGCTAAGGCCCTCTTTCCTTTTATTTCATCTGGCTTGTCCAGGAATACTATCTATTATGAACTCTGTGTTAGCATCCATCAATAATATCCTACTAACTAAAGATGCAAATGAAACTCATTTTACAGGCACTCTGGGGGACTAGCCCTTGACAAGTTCATCTCTCATAACTCCCTTCTGTATATTTGACAATTACAGGTTAATTTAGAATCCCACTCATTTTATCAATAATTTTTGGAATCCAATTTGTCCAAAACTATATATTTATATCATTATTTACAAAATAAAGAATTAATAATAAGTTGAAAGTTTGGGGAGCATTTACTCCTCTAATCAAAAATAAGAATTGGACCTGACCAGTATTTCTCAAAACTGTCAAGTAAATCAAAAATAAGGATAATTTTTAGAAACTATAACAGTCAAGAGGACCCTAAGGAGACATGACAACCAAACGTAATTATTATTCTGGACAGATTCTTGGATCAGAAAAAAAAATAAGTAAGTAAAAACTAAAGAAATTTGAAGAAATTATAATATTAGTTAATAAAAATATATATAATCTTTCATTAATTGTAACAAATGTGCTGCTATACTAATGTCAAATGTTAATAATTTGGAAAACTGTTCAGGTATATATGGGAATTCTATTTCACAATTTTTCTGTAAATATAAAACTACTCTAAAAATGCATTCCTAAAAAAATGGTAGAATGTACTTAACAGTATGAAATGAATACACCTATTTTCCCTTTAGCTTTGTTTAAAATACTTTTGAAGGTCTTTGAAAACACACATTGTTTCCATGACTAAACTCAATCATAAATATAAATTCTAGAGGCTACAGAATGCTGATGATGACAAACAACAGCAATAACTTTTACTATTTATTGACTCTTTAGCATATTCCCAGCACTTTGCCAGGACTTTATTTATTCTTTATCACCAATCAACTTATATAAGATGCTCAACACTCAATCAAAAATTTCTAGGCACAAGAAGAGACAGAATTAAATGCCTCATAACCAGAGAAAAAAAATAAATGAAGCAGGTGATACAAAAACTGAAATTAGGAAAAAAAGACTAATCTTGATGAAAATTCAGGCAAAGAAAAGGCAAACAAAATAGATAAAACAATTAAAAATATAACCAGAATACTGTAATCTACTTAAGAAAAACAAACTGACATTCCATAACTGAATAAAAATTTTAAGATAGATTTTAATGCATGGTTTTAACAGCATTCATGGTGGTTTAACTGCATTTGTCTAATTTGGCATCTCTCCTTAGCAACCAATAAGCATGTCTAACACATAAGAAAGGTTCTTCAATACATCGGAGGAATATAATATGAAGTTAAACTTATAAATAAGATAACTGAACTAGAAAGGGTAAATAATTTGCCAAAGGATCATACAGCAGGTAAGTGGCAGAGCTGGAATAGCAAATCGTATTTCTGACCTCTTAGGAACCAAGATTTACACTAATACTGTCATATTGTTCATTACTTAATAGGTTATACAGTTTAGTTACAGTATTATTATTCAGCTACATTATGTATCTTGATGTAAAACACATGCAAACAGCTCTTTTCAATATAAATAGGAAGGCATGTAGCTAGTCTATTAGATTAATTATGCTTTATATATCATTAGTTGATTTTGGCTTGTAGAGTTCCTTTAGTTTTGATCTTTCCATCAGTACAACAAAAAGTTATTATAATGTAAAAGTATTTTTCTCTTAATTTAAGAGATTAAGTTCTGCTCATTCCCCCAAATTTAGTCATATTTCCAGTGGCTTTGTTCTATCTTCATTAATGTCACACATAGGGGCCAAAAATAAAACACTGAACTATCAAAATAGAATTTCCAAAAGTTAACATTGGACTCCCTTACACATTCAGAAGGAGAATGTGTCAAACATTGTACTTGACTCAATAAATAAGAAATCATTTATATAGTAAAACTGACTCAAAGGGCATTTGTGGCTGATGTGGCTTAAATGGTAAATTCTACAGAATATTTAAATAACAGTTTATACAAATTCTTCATAAATATATCTATAACTTTTGGAGTTATTGCCTCTGCCAAACAGAAATAATTTGCATCTCTACTATATACGAATTTATAAGGTGTAAAATTGCAGTCTGAACTTTTAATTTATATTAAATAGCAAAGTCAACCAGTGGTTCTTTTCCCTAGAAAATTAAATACTTAAGTGTCACCTTATATTTATTTTTAAATGCTTTAGTATGATAACAGTAAATGATACAAACTTATGTCCATGGCCTCAGTTTCTGTTTTTGGATAATTTTACCTAATAATAGTCATGATAAATAATTACTAACTTAAAATTATTTGGTCTATTCCTAGGCAAACATCTTTAGTTTGTGCTTATGCCCATTGATCTCCCCACACAGTAATGGCAACCAAGTGGTTTAATCACTGCTGGAAAAAAATCTCACATTCATTGCGAATATTCTTTCCTCTTCTTATTTGAAATCTCAGGAACATTTGACATGATCGATTAACAAATATTTATTGACTAACTCACTGACTCGAAAATCCAGTGCAAAATGAGAAGTGTCCTTGTAATATAAAAACACTATCATGGAAAAAAAATATCAATTGCAGATCACTTTTAAGGATATTAAGTGGGGGGAAACACATAAAGAATATAATCTAATTAAACACCGAAGGATCTTTCCACAAGAGTACTGATTGTTCTATGAAGCCATATTGAGTTTCAAGATTACACATTAAATGATGATACATGTTTTTTAAAAGTGCAGAAAATAAAACATTTAAAATTACACTATGGCTCATGACTTGCTATAGCTATTAAATGACTACAGCCTGATTTATCATAGCATATCGCTAACAATAAAACTGTCTAGTAATTCTTTAAAACTCTCACAACCCCAAGTGTTATCTTTACACCCAAATAAAATTAGAGGAGGCTATGAAATTTTTTAAAATTAATAAGAATTACTGAACGTTTATAAATAAAAACCACCATAGAAATTAAAAAAATAAAAAGGGCAAATATACGCTCTCTGACATCAAGATGTGGTTTAGAATCAGCTTTAAATGGGTGGCAGTCAAAATGAGAGAGAATGACATATGAGTCATTCTGGACTAACATGAGTAAATATTCAAGGAAGTTCAGAAGATGTCTTGGCGTAATGACTTGGCAATTTTGCTACAGTAGTTCATTTATTCACTTAAGAAATAATGATTAGAGGATATATTTGAAAAAAGTGCTTGTAACTAATTATGAGGAAACTTGGCTACCGATCTAAGGGTTTAGTATTTAACTGATGTTTTTTAATAGAAAAGTGCCAGTATTAAGGGACTAACTGGGAGGATAATGTGGAGATTCTCAGAAAGGGGCTGGAAAGAGGAAATGTGAAGAGGCATGATGATACCTAAAAAAAGGAAAGAATTGGCATATATCACAGAATACAGAAACATGGTTTTAAAAATAGTCTAAGCAATGATTCGGAAGTCACATTTGCAAGCCATCTCACAAATAACTTTGAAGAAATGGTAAAGAACTCCACTAAGTAGGGATCTGCATACTCAGAATCAAACACATTCAGAAACCTATCAGTAAGGGAACACCTTCTCAAGTTTTCCCATTGAGAAAATCAAGATCAATATCAATCTTTTCTCTCATAGTAAGTGGGAAGATTTCTTGAGTCCTCCTTCTAAACAAAAGGTTTAACTCCTATTCTGTGAGCTCTTATGCTTTTTTAAAAGTCAAGGCTATAAAATTTAAATTTAGAAGGGTACTTTAAAGACACCCCAGCAGTCCTTCTAGGAAATATAGAACCAGTTCAAATGGTTTCTTCATGTTATTCAATCAGTCACAAGCATTTAGACTTCTATTGTATGAAGAAAAATAGATAGAGCTATGTTAGGAGAGATAAAATAAATATATGATCTTCTGTGCATAGATTTATTTTATGTATAAAGCATGAGGACTTTTACCTCTTCTTTGAACAAAATCTAAAAGACAAAAATGATGTTTGATATGTTTGTTGTTTTTATATAAACACAAAAGAATAGAAATTAAATATTCTCCAATCCATTAACTTACCCATATTTTGCAGGTATTGAATATTCTGTTACTCAATGGGGTTAATAAAACATGTTCTAAGGTACAACATGTGCTATTTATGTAAGTTAATTTTAAAATAACTAACTTTTGTTCTTTGCTTTTTATTTTAAAGTGATAGCTTGAAACTACATTAATATCATTCCTCTACAATTTAAAGGTTTTTAAAGTTATTATCAAGAAACCTGAAAAACTCACAAACTAACTAACCTCTCATATGGTATAACTAATTTCACAAACAGTCCTATCATATTCAGGCCTTCGTATCACTGCAACATTATCAATACA